ACCCGCCCTGCTCCACCCAGAGGCTACTCCACCTCTGCTGCTGTGACCCGTCCTGCTCCACCCAGAGGCTACTCCACCTCTGCTGCTGTGACCCGCCCTGCTCCACCCAGAGGCTACTCCACCTCTGCTGCTGTGACCCGTCCTGCTCCACCCAGAGGCTACTCCACCTCTGCTGCTGTGACCTGTCCTGCTCCACCCAGAGGCTACTCCACCTCTGCTGCTGTGACCCGTCCTGCTCCACCCAGAGGCTACTCCACCTCTGCTGCTGTGACCCGTCCTGCTCCACCCAGAGGCTACTCCACCTCTGCTGCTGTGACCCGTCCTGCTCCACCCAGAGACTACTCCACCTCTGCTGCTGTGACCCGTCCTGCTCCACCCAGAGACTACTCCACCTCTGCTGCTGTGACCTGTCCTGCTCCACCTCTGCTGCTGTGAGCCGTCCTGCTTCACCCAGAGGCTACTCCACCTCTGCTGCTGTGACCCGTCCTGCTCCACCCAGAGGCTACTCCACCTCTGCTGCTGTGACCCGTCCTGCTCCACCCAGAGGCTACTCCACCTCTGCTGCTGTGACCCGTCCTGCTCCACCCAGAGGCTACTCCACCTCTGCTGCTGTGACCCGTCCTGCTCCACCCAGAGGCTACTCCACCTCTGCTGCTGTGACCCTATCCACCCACCCACACCCAGGCTGTGTAAGGGCTGTTTGACCGATAAGGAGAGTGATGGTGCTGGGCCACATGACCTCCACAGTCACCGGACCTGAACCCAGTCCAGATGGTTTTGGACCTGAACCCAGTCCAGATGGTTTTGGACCTGAACCTAGTCCAGATGGTTTTGGACCTGAACCCAGTCCAGATGGTTTTGGGGCTGGACCACAGAGTGAAGGGGCCAATAAGTGCTAAGCATCATGGGAACTCCTTCAGGACTGTTGGAGACCATTTCAGGTCCTGTTGAAGCTCATCCAGAGAATGCCAAGAGTGAAGCAGTATCAGAGCAAAAGGAGCTACTTTGAAGAACCAGAATATAACACATATTTACACTTTACACTTATACTTTTTTAGTACATACATAATTCACATGAGTTCATTCATATTTTTGATGCCTTCGGTGTAAATCTACAATTTTGATAGTCATGAAGATTAAAAAAACTCTTTGAATGAGAAGGCGTGTCCAAACTTTTGCTCTGTGTATTATTACAGACTATTCTCATCAGTGCAATGCTACAGTACTTTCTACATATTCAGAACAGCACCAGTTTGGGTTCTGAAAGGTCCAACAAAGCTTGCTCCATCCCGGCCCAGTGCAGGCTGAGTCCGCCCCGAGTCCGCCCCGAGTCCTCCCCGAGTCCGCCCAGACTGAAACAGGATATGGCCATGTCTTTGTGCTCATTGTGGAGAGTCTAATCTGGACAATTACACCTCCAGAGCGAGACCGCGGCCCCAGGACCGGGCCCAGGATTAGGGTCTGAGCCTCGGGGGTAGACCCAGTCCCCGCCAAAGCAGCCTCCAGACCTGAAACCTTTAGACGTGTCATCAAGTGTTAGCATGAAAGAAGAAAAACTGGAAAAAAGTGAAATTGTGGTCAGATTTATTCACTAAAAACAATATAATGATGCTTATTTTTTAGTTTTTGTTGCTGGAATGTAGTTTGTCAAAAGATTATTTTAAGATTATAAAATACTTCATAAACTTATTAGAGAAAAAAGTCTGAGCAGTGAGTTTTTTAAGCTGGTTTTATTATTTTAAGCAGCATTGAACTTAAATATATCGCTTCTATTTGCGTCTATATTTTTTGTTGTTGGAATTCTTTAGTTCTGTTGAATTCTAGACTTCTTAATAAAGTTTGTTTATTTACCATTTGGAAGGTAAACTAAGACATGAACTTATAACAAGATTTTAGATTAGACCAAAGTTTATAGAGAGAGAGTGTGTGTCTGTGTGTGTGTCTATATCTGTGTCTGTGTGTGTGTGTCTGTGTCTTTGTGTGTGTGTCTATGTCTGTGTTTGTGTGTGTGTGTGTGCCTGCGTTTGTGTCTGTGTGTTTCTATGTCTGTGTTTGTGTGTGTCTATGTCTGTGTTTGTGTGTGTCTGTGTGTGTGTCTGTGTCTTTGTCTGTGTGTGTGTCTGTGTCTTTGTCTGTGTGTGTGTGTGTGTCTTTGTCTGTGTGTGTGTGTGTGTGTCTGTGTCTTTGTCTGTGTGTGTGTCTATGTTTGTGTTTGTGTGTCTGTGTGTGTGTGTGTCTATGTCTGTGTTTGTGTGTGTCTGTGTGTGCCTGCGTTTGTGTCTGTGTGTGTCTATGTCTGTGTGTCTGTGTGTGTGTGTGTCTTTGTCTGTGCGTGTGTGTGTCTGTGTGTGTGTCTATGTCTGTGTCTGCGTGTGTGTGTCTGTGTGTGTCTATGTGTGTGTCTGTGTGTGTGTCTATGTGTGTGTGTCTGTGTGTCTGTGTGTGTGTCTATGTGTGTCTATGTGTGTGTGTCTGTGTGTGTGTCTATGTGTGTCTATGTGTGTGTGTCTGTGTGTGTGTCTGTGTGTGTGTGTGTGTGTCTGTGTGTGTGTCTATGTGTGTCTATGTGTGTGTGTCTGTGTGTGTGTCTGTGTGTGTGTGTGTCTATGTGTGTGTGTCTGTGTGTGTGTCTGTGTGTGTGTGTGTCTGTGTGTGTGTGTGTGTGTGTGTGTGGACAAAGACATAGAGACAAAGCAGTGAAGGATCAAAGTGCAGGACTCCGAGTTATGACGGACATTTGCAACTCAGGAGTGGGTAAAAGTTTACACGATCATAAAAGTTAAACTATATCAATTGTTTTAAAATGTCCGAGGTGATTGTGTAACTCTACCCGGGCTATAAAGGTGTGTGTTTGCATGGGTGTGTGTGTGTGTGTGTGTGTGGCAGTTGCCGTGCTGTTGTGTGTGTTACAATAGATCCAGAGGACGTTGTTCCCACAGAAGCCGGGGCTGACATCATAAAAAAACACACACAACAAGGTATACCTCCAGGGGCCTGATGGGCGGGGGTGGGGGGGCAGGGGTAGGTGAGGAGGTGAGGAGGAGGAGGAGGCCCGGGCGGGGGGGGGGGGGGGTAGGTTTCGACCAAGCTACAATTGGTCAATGGCGGCATGCGGGACACACCTGTAAGCGCCGGAGGCTAAGGACATTGGCTGCGAGATGAAAATTTACACCTGTGGGGGGGGGGGGGGGGCGGGTTCGGGGGGGGGGGGGGGGGGGGTCGGACTACATGTAAACCAAGCCCTTTACAAATTCAGCCTCTGTCTTCTGGAGGAGCTTAAGCGGGAACCAGCAGCGGAAGGAGGCAGAAAACAAGTTGCGTGGGTTCGCGTCGGAAAAAGCCGTGACGCGCTTTTTTCCGAAAACCGGTCGGGGCTGTTCCCGGGGCTTGGCTCGGCTTCGTGGCTAAACCTGCGACGGGACGACCTTAATTTTTTTTTTTTTCTTCTGGTTTTTTCTTCCTCCACGCCACTTCAGAGGTCGACTGTCCTTCAGCACGAGCAGGAAAAGAGAACGGACGCGCACAATGATGCCTCTTGTCTCGGACGCACCTGCGAAACGGACTGGGTAAAGTCTCATGTGATTTCTTCTGTGTTTTTCATCTTTAAAGAATCAAATCCACGTCTCAACCTGTTGCTTGAATAGATACATGGACTTTTATTTTTATTTTTTTTACACACCGCAAGATACAGGAAATGTTCAGCGGCAAATTAGGTCACGAAGCCCGTTGGCGATTGTTTTGTGATATAGGAAGGGCCCGGCTAGTTTCGATGGGAAGAGAAATAGTGTGTATCAGATTCCAACTCTATTTAAGCGGAGAGAAAAGACGCGGAGACAATAGAAGTCAACGCTCATTCCTAAACCGGACGGACCAGTCGGGGCAGGTAAACGCAAACGGCCAGACATGTCAGAGGAGATGAAGAGATGGCGGTTTGTGAGTAAAAACAGGGGATTCTCAACACTAGAGCTTTTACTTAATGGTTAGCATTAGCCGCGCCGTGCTAAGTCAGAACCATAGACCCGCTTTTCTCTACAACCTGCTGCTTCTCGGCCGATTGTACTGACTTTCTATTTCCAGCTAGTACTTGTATCCAGACTTTACTGCTTCTCTCTACAGCGTTTCTATTATTTCTGGGGATAAAAGAAATGGAGATTAAAGAGAAGTTTCCTGCGTCTGAAATCTGGCTGCAAGTTGAGACAGATTTGGATTCATCTGTTTTCTGAGTGAGAATACAGTGTTTGTACCACGCTCCAAGCTTGACTTCAAAGTTTAAGGAGAGGGCAAAGTGGGGGGAAAATGTCGCCTTGACGTCTACTGTTCAGAGCTGAGTCCAGACTGAGGTGGAGGGCTGTGATTGGTGGACAGGAAACATTTGTTCTTTTCTTCCACACACTTGAAAAGCAGTCTCCAGAACACTGCCTTTTCTAGAGTGGTATTTTACGAACAATTTAACCCAAATAATAATCTCTATAATAAACTTCTCATTAGTTCATCAGGTCCCTTGGGGTTAGCTTTGAGGCTAGTAAAGCTATTCATACAGCAACGGTATCATAGCAACAGCGGATATGCTAAGCTAGTTCATTATTATCTTATTTGAGTAGGCAAGAACAACACAAATACATTATATAGCAACAATATTTTCAGCTAAATTAGTGTCAAATATGTAAATTGTGTCTTTTTCGTAACCAAATTAACCCTGCGTTTTATTCATTTATTTAAAATTATTCAAAACCGAAAGATGACAAAACAAATGACCAGTAAAAACCAAATAGGGCGAGGAGGAGGAGGAGGGAGGAGGGGGCGGGTCATAAAAATCAGGTTTCTTTGTCTGAAATCGGAGCATTGTTATGACGTGTGACCAGCTCCTGATTCCAGTTGGTGGCGCTGTCATCCACCCCCCGGACTTAACTACAGTTTTAAGTTTCCCGGACATTGTTTTCACACAAAGGCAGCACGTATCGATTAAGGGGCCGGTTTACCTGTGGGCCAGCTCAGCGCACATGCAGCCGGCTCACATACCAGCACAGGGCCCGCGTTACCTGACTACACCCCAGCCCTGGACCACTACTGTAGAACCACCTCTGTGCTCACTCATGCACGTCCAACACAAACTGAAATACTTGGGCCGAGACTTGAAAGCTTGGGTCTTGAGGACGGGGGTGGTTTTTAGAAAAGGTACTCGATCACACAACCTGCTGTAACTGTCTCTGTCCTAAAATGTTTCACGGGCTTCTTCTTTTGTGCTCTTTCCTCTTCAGAAGGCGCGGGTTTAGAATGCTGATCATTAACTAAATAGCTGAGAGATTGCTCTGCTTGGCTTTCTCATTTCTGGAGGGCTCGCCTGACCGTGAGGAAGACGCAGCGTTCTCGGGAAACCCAAAACTCCTCTCTTTTCTTTCTCCCCCCCCCCCCCCCCCCTCTCCTCTCTCTCTCTCTCTCTCTCTCTCTCTCTCTCGTCTCTCTCTCTCTCTCTCTTGCTCTCTCTCTCTCTCTCTCTGGTCTCCTCTCTCTCTGCATCTCTCTCTCTCTCTCTCTCTCTCTCTCTCTCTCTCTCTCTCTCTCTCTCCTTTTTTTGCCAGCCCCACCCCACACTTTCTTTGCCTGTGCGACATTCTTTCCTTGGGGGTACTTTTCATGACGGTAAGGTTACAGTGCATTCTCTGTTTTCTCTCTCCACCTTCATCCCGAGCTTTTCTTTTCTTTCCTTGCCCTCCCCCCAGTGCTCTACTTCTGCAGTTGTTTGCAGAGACCGGGCTTTTTTTTTTTTCAAACAACTTTTAGCGTGTTGTCGTGGTCTGAACTCGGACTGGGCTGGGGTTTTTTTCTTTTATCACAAACTGAAGCGATTTTTATTTAAAACAAACCAGGAATCATGAATGATCGGAGAACACCTGCTTTTGTATAATGTGAATACTAGCATGTATAATGTGTATTTAACTGTGTTACTAGGGATATTGCAAACTAGCCTTGGCTATTCATGTTATAGTAGTAGTAGTTTTACAATGTTTTTTATATAAATAGATTTTTTAACATGCACATATAATTTCAAGAAAGACAAAAAAAAGCTCAAAAGGAGAAAGCAGAAGCAAAAAGTTTAAAAGTGCCTTTCTCATTATCAATAATTAATTTAAGCGGCTGCAAAAAATATTTACATTTTCACGACATTCCTGATTTTTTACCATTATTTTTATCTTATTGATGCAAAAAAAACTAAACAAAAAACAGTATTACTTATCGATTTATGCTCCATATTTCATCGCAATAATAAATATAATCTGTGTTTTTTTTTATAGTGTCTCACATGTTGACTGTGTACACTTGTCCCTATCAAAAAAATCCTTAAAAAAATCAATAAATGAATAGTTGAGATGCCTTTGCGGACAAAAAAACAAGTGTGATAGTAAACTTTTCTGCCAGATGTCGGGACAGTATTTGACGCCGCTAACGTGTGAACGCGGCGTTATTAAAAGGGCCAGTGGCGTCTCGGTGACCTTCTCTGTGACCTGAGCAGCATTCCCATCAGCTTTTCATCACTCGGCAAACACAAAGAGCTCCACCGACAGAAAAACACCAACAAAAATTAAGTCTTGATCCTTTAAAACATCCCAAGAACGAAAAAGTCAGAATCTGGCAGACAGTAGAAAATATATAGAGGCAGGATTGTCACCTTGAGGCCTGCACTGCAAAAAATGATCAAATTTGAGATCATAATTGCTTGAATTCGAGTTGTTTTTTATCTTAATTTTAAGTTCTTCCTGACTGTCTTAAAAACGATAATATGCAGAATAGACAAACAATTTTGACACTGATTCAAGAACTAGTTGCTGTATTTTTTCCTCATTCCAAGAGAGAAATGTCTTGTCCAATCCTGTGTTACAGGGCAGTCAAAATGGGCTCAGATTTAGTTATATTTAGCCAAATTCCATCTTTTTTTTGCATTGTGGCGGGTTCAGTTTTCATTGTGGGAGTTTTAAAATGAGAATAATTAGCGGCATGTGTTGTGTGAAAGATTTGGACCAGTTGGAACAGGTTTGGGCAATTATTAACATCTTCTGTGGCCCGGTCTTGTGTGACACTGAGTTTAAACTGCAAAAAAATCTACTCCAAGCTCTCAGACCTGAAGCTAGACCGAGGTTTCATCCTCTTCCTTCTTCCTGTTTGTCTCTCAGGCTTTCAAAAGATTCCGTTACACCTGTTTTTTGAGTTCCCATTTTTTCGACAAAGGTATGTAAATATGGGGGATTTATTTACCAACGGCTTTGTTTTCTGGCCATCCGGGGTGATTATCTCGATCTTACGAGGCAGCATTGGATTTCATAAGTCTTTTCTAATACTGCCTGGTAATGATGATGATAGCCATCGCTTGACTACGCCCAGAGAACCACGGAGCGTCGCTAGCTTAGCCGCTCCCGGCCTGGGGGGGGGGGGGGGGTTGGGGGTGGGGGGGGGGGGGGGGGGGGAGGGGGGGGGGGGGCCCGGGGGGGGGGGGGGGTGTGTGGGGTGGGGTGGTGCCGGGTGTAGATCCCTCAAATGTCTCTCCGAGGAGCCATCTACCCGAGCAGTGCGTGGATTGTACTTTGGTGTCTAACACTGTCTGGTCACGATGTTTTCTGGGAGATACGTTATAACATTCTTGCTCTGTAGCTGCTCAGCAGGGGGTAGAAAAGTGTGGGTGTTGGTGGCATGGGGTGGGGGGGAGCGACAAGTGAAGGGTACGGATCGATCTATCCGTCGCGTGAAGATAGTTGGGGTGGATTGGAGAATGGGGAGTCGCTATGTAGGGGTTGTTATGTTTGATTGATGTATCATGGTATTAAGTGTAATGTGTGTCGCGATGCGAGTTACGTGCGAAAAAATAGGTCTTAAATCATGGACGTATGGGGACTGTTTTTGTTGCTTGATATTGTTGGGTTTTGGTCTATTGGAGGGGATAGTGTTACTATGTGTTTAAGCTACGTTTCATATTCCTTATCAGAGAAAATAGTCTAGAGAGTGCTGAGTTTGTAAGCTGGTATTATACTATTTGTGTACACATGTTTTTCTGTACTACTTTAGGTAGTGGGGGGGCGATTGAGGGGGGTTGGTGGGATCGTTCTGCAGTGACATATTTGAGAATTAAGTGTTTAGAATATTAGGTACAAAATTTTGTTGGGGTGGGGGGGGGGGGCATGATTTTTTATATTGAATTGCTAGTCAATTTGGGGCTTATATTCGGCTGTGCTTACGCTCCAGAAATCTTATGTCTCATGTCTTTTTTCTTGTTTGTTAATACAGTATTTTAGGAGTTTTCTCTCACATATTTTTCATGGTTACTTTTCCCCAGTGTAGACCGTTATAGACATTTTTCTTTTATGTTCGCTTCCCTCTGAAAAGGTTTTAACGTTGTCAATCCTGTGTGCTCACTTCCCTTGTGCCTTTTTTTAAAACGTGATACGGCAAACCCCACCCCGCCCTAGTTATAAGATATAGCGGGCGGTTGATGGGTTAGCACCGGTCCTGCTGGGCGCCTGTTTCACCCGTCCCCGGTCCCACTCTCCTTAGTGTTGGCTTTGTGTTGCTTGGCAGTGATTGGGCGTACACACCACACACACACCACACGCACACAAACTCACACCTGGAACTACACTGCAAAAAGATGACAGAAATTAAAGACAAAAAATGCTCAAATTTGGCGTAAATGTATCTAAATTTGAGCACATTTTGACTGCCTTTAAAACAAGATTTTCCAGTGGAACAAGAAAAATTATCTTGTTTATAAAAAGATACAAGACATTTCTCTCTTGGAATGAGAAAATAAAGCAATAGTTCTTGAATCAATCAAAATTGCTTGTCTCATTGGGCAAATCTCATTTTAAGACAGTCAGAATGAACTTAAGGCAAGTTAAAAAAACTTGATTTCTAGGAATTATGACTCTCATATTTGATCATTTTTTGCAGTGTATACACAGTGTAGGCCGTCTCTCCGATTACATAACGGATAATTAGTAAGTTTTGAGAGTATACGTCTGGGCAGATATATGAGAGAAAGTGGCTGGAGCTTTAAACAGACATTTCTAACAAAGGTAACTAACAATTCTCAGATAATGAGCCGCACCTTTGTTTGCCCATCCACTCTGTTCTCCATCAACACTAAACACTGGCTTTTTATCCATCGTCATTTATATTTCCCTTCTTCTATTCACAGCAGTAGTTTTCATTTTTTTTCAGATTTTTCCCATAGATATTTTCAGCTGTATCATGCTATGACCTGTGTAACACCCAATACTTTCACGGACGGCTTTGTACGTGTCAGAAACAGACTTTCCCGTTTCTAAAAAGCCCGTTTATTTCCTTCTACCCGATGGATAAAAAGCCAGTGTAGTGTTGATCGGAGAACAGCGCTGGATGGGCAAACAAAGGTGCGGCTCAATATTTGCGGGTAATTCTCCTCCTTAAACAAACAGTCGGGGCAGAGCTAGCTTCACATCTGTTATTTACCTTTGTTAGTAATGTCTGTTTAAAGGCTCCAGCCACTTCTCTCACATCTGCCCAGACGTATACTCACAAAAACCTATAATTATCAGTTTGTAATTCGGAGAGACGGCCTACACTGTGTATACACTGCAAAAAATGATCAAATATGAGATCATAATTACTAGAATCAAGTTTTTTTAACTTGCCTTAAGTTCATTCTGACTGTCTTAAAATGAGATTTGCCAATGAGACAAGCAATTTTGACTTGATTCAAGAACTATTGCTTTATTTTCTCATTCCAAGAGAGAAATGTCTTGTATCTTTTTAAAACAAGATAATTTTTCTTGTTCCACTGGAAAATCTTGTTTTAAGGCAGTCAAAATGTGCTCAAATTTAGATACATTTAGCCAAATTTGAGCATTTTTTGTCTTTAATTCTGTCATCTTTTGCAGTGTAGTTCCAGGTGTGTGTGTGCGTGTGTGTGTGTGTGTGTTCGACCAATCACTGCCAAGCAACACAAAGCCAACACTATGGGGTGGGAGGGGACGGGGAAACGGCGCCCTGCAGGACCGGTGTAACCATCAACCGACAGCTATTCTTTAACTTGGGCGGGGTGGGGTTTGCCGTATCACGTTTTAAAAAAAGGAACATGGGAAGTGAGCAAACAGATTGAAACGTAAAACCTTTCAGGGGAAGCGAACATAAAAGAAATGTATAACGGCTACACTGGGAAAAGTACCTTGAAAAATATGTGTGAAAATACCTAAAATACTGATTAAAAAACTAGAAATAGACATGTGACTTAAGATTTCTGGAGATAAGAAAGGATTAGTAGCCCCAAATGACTTGATTCTAGTTTAAAAACATGCATTACAAGTATTGTTTACTTAATTCTTAAATATGTTTGAGATTGTTTTCATAAATATAGCAAAACTATTAGTAAAGTTGTCTGAAAAATGTGTAAAAATAGTTAAAACAAGCTTAAAAACTCACTTCTCAGACTTTTTTCTCTGATAAGATTATGAAGTAGCTTAAAACTAGTAAAATAATCTTATGACAAACTAAAATCAAGCAACAAAAACTTAAAAATAAGCATGATTTATGTCATTTTTAGCACGTAAATCATACAAAAATTACACTTTTTTCCATGTACTTCAAAAACAAAAACAACATGGCTATTCTTACCATTCAAACGGGATCGATCGTACAGTCACTTTGTCAACGCCTGATTAAAAACACACATTTTTACTGAATTTACTGAAGAATGTACGATCTCCCAGAAAACATCGTTACCAGACAGTGTTAGAACAACCAAAGTACAATCCAGCACTGTCGGGTAAGATGGCTCCGGAGAGACACTTTGATGGATCTTTAGCCCGGCCGCGGCTAAGCTAGCGACGCTCCGTGGTTCTCTGGGCGTAGTCAAGCGATGGCTATCATCATCATTACCAGGCAGTATTAGAAAAGACTTATGAAATCCAATGCTGCCTCGTAAGATGGAGATAATCACCCCGGATGGCCAGAAAAAAAAGCCGTTGGTAAATAAATCCCCCATATTTACATACCTTTGTCGAAAAATGGGAACTCAAAAAACAGGTGTAACGGAATCTTTTGAAAGCCTGAAGAGACAAACAGGAAGAAGGAAGAGGATGAAACCTCGGTCTAGCTTCAGGTCTGAGGCTTGGAGTAGATTTTTTTGCAGTTTAAACTCAGTGTCACACAAGACCGGGCCACAGAAGATGTTAATAATTGCCCAAACCTGTTCCAACTGGTCCAAATCTTTCACACAACACATGCCGCTAATTATTCTCATTTTAAAACTCCCACAATGAAAACTGAACCCGCCACAATGCAAAAAAAAGATGGAATTTGGCTAAATATAACTAAATCTGAGCCCATTTTGACTGCCTTAACACAGGATTGGACAAGACATTTCTCTCTTGGAATGAGAAAATACAGCAATAGTTCTTGAATCAGGTCAAAATTGTTTGTCTATTTGGCATATCTCGTTTTAAGACAGTCAGGAAGAACTTAAATTAAGATAAAAACAACTCGATTCAAGCAATTATGATCTCAAATTTGATCATTTTTTGCAGTGCAGGCCTCAAGGTGACAATCCTGCCTCTATATATTTTCTACTGTCTGCCAGATTCTGACTTTTTCGTTCTTGGGATGTTTTAAAGGATCAAGACTTAATTTTTGTTGGTGTTTTTCTGTCGGTGGAGCTCTTTGTGTTTGCCGAGTGATGAAAAGCTGATGGAATGCTGCTCAGGTCACAGAGAAGGTCACCGAGACGCCACTGGCCCTTTTAATAACGCCGCGTTCACACGTTAGCGGCGTCAAATACTGTCCCGACATCTGGCAGAAAAGTTTACTATCACACTTGTTTTTTTGTCCGCAAAGGCATCTCAACTATTCATTTATTGATTTTTTTAAGGATTTTTTTGATAGGGACAAGTGTACACAGTCAACATGTTGAGACACTATAAAAAAAAACACAGATTATATTTATTATTGCGATGAAATATGGAGCATAAATCGATAAGTAATACTGTTTTTGTTTAGTTTTTTTTGCATCAATAAGATAAAAATAATGGTAAAAAAATCAGGAATGTCGTGAAAATGTAAATATTTTTGCAGCCGCTTAAATTAATTATTGATAATGAGAAAGGCACTTTTAAACTTTTTGCTTCTGCTTTCTCCTTTTGAGCTTTTTTTTGTCTTTCTTGAAATTATATGTGCATGTTAAAAAATATTTATATAAAAAACATTGTAAAACTACTACTACTATAACATGAATAGCCAAGGGCTAGTTTGCAATAATCCCTAGTAACACAGTTAAATACACATTATACATGCTAGTATTCACATTATACAAAAGCAGGTGTTCTCCGACTCATATCATGATTCCTGGTTTGTTTTTGAAATAAAAAATCGCTTCAGTTTGTGATAAAAGAAAAAAAAAAACCCAGGGCCCAGTCCGAGTTCAGGACCACGACAACACGCTAAAAGTTGTTTGAAAAAAAAAGCCCGGTCTCTGCAAACAACTGCAGAAGTAGAGCACTGGGGGGAGGGCAAGGAAAGGAAAAGAAATAGCTCGGGATGAAG